GGGGGCGATATGCTGACTCTGTAAACCACTTAGAGAGGGCTGAAAGCCCTATGAAGCGGTATATAAGTCTAACTGCTATTGCTATTATCACTCTCTTAGTCCAACCCATTTCACTGAGTTGTTTATGTAGTGTTCTCTCTTGCTGGAGAAACTTACTTAATTGGAGCTTCCAAGAGGAAAAAAATGTTATATAAATGCAACAATAAAGAATGACATTGGACATCCAACAGGTGAGAGCCAATGTATCTGGTATTTAAAAGTGCACTTTCATCTTGTGTGGAAGTTTATTTTAAATTGTAAACAGCAATTCTTGCAGGGGAGATAAGAAATATACTCCTGCAACTGCTGAATGCTGCACAACCTCTTTAAGTCTTAGCATTTAATTCAATATGTCATAACATGAGGAAGAGTAATCAAAGAAAGATTTTGGCCTATCAGGCATCTGCCATTTATTTTTATTTCTATATCATTCTTTCTCCCAGAAATATCCAAAGGGATTCCATAGATGGGTGGGGGCAGGAGCTGCAAATAAAACTAACCAAACTAACAATACTTAAAAACAATGCATTATACTTGGCTGAAAAACAAACAAAACAACTAAAACTCATCAAATTAAAGCTTCCCCAACAAAATGGATCGTGAGAAATTGCAAAGCCTCCTTTCAAAGTTGCACTACAAGAGGGAGAAATTAGGTGGCCTCTCGTCTCCGTCTTTAAATCTCCTTCATCAAAACCCACCAATAGTACATCCAACTCACCAGCTTCATGCTTTACCCGGCTCTATATACGGCGGACCATGCTTCTCTTTCCTGGTCTAAACCTCTTGCACTGCATCCTGGGCAATGTAGTCCATTACTGGAGCACGCCCCTCTTATTCACTCCGCCCACCGCAAAATGATGTCACGAACAGCCATATCTTCGCGGACCTAGAGAGCACGACGGGAATCGTAGTTTTTTCTCGCCCCGATCATCACTCTCCCGTTTACTGTTAGCCATTGGTGTGGCAGTTCTAGCGCAGGTCTCTGGGAGTCGTAGTCCTAGACGGCCCACTTTATCTTCTTCCCCTTGGGAAGAAGGAACTACAAGTCCCAGGGTCTCACAGCGGCGGCAGGTGGGAGCTTGGATGTTGATATCAACATGGCGCTTGTCAGACAGACAAAGGCAGTCAGTCTGGTCTGATTGAGCCCAAAAGGGAGCAGGAAGAAGTGGGAGGGGTTTTTTCCTTTCCTTGGGGGGTTCAAAGCAAGCAGAGCTTGGGAGTCCGAAGCAATTCCCCCCCTGGAGCTCCTCTCCATTTTATTTTGCAGGATCCCCTAAAAAAAAAAAGAAATCTCTTCGCTTTTCCTATTTGGGAGCCACCCCCAACTTCTGCCTCTAAATGGTCAAGTGGAGAAAAAAGTAGCCAGAACCAAAACGTGAGTATCCTTTTGACGGCGAAGGGCACGATCGGGGCTGTTGGGGAGCCGAAGGGCGATCGTGCAAAGGAAGAGGAGGAGGAGAGGGTCTGCTTGTTCTTTTCCTTTTGTTTTGATCGGGCTAGTGGTCTTTTCTTTTCTTTTTTTTTTCTTCTTGTCCGTTTGGGACTCGAGGGATGAGTACAGTGTTTCTTTTCGGAAAGCATCCCGAGTGACTTTGTGGGAGAATTTTAGAGTGGAGAGAGAGGACGAGGGGGAGAAAAATGTAGGGTTATTTTTTTTCATCTTTTCTCTTTCGCAGCTGGAGGAGGAGAGCCTGTTAAACAAGCTCTTTAAATTATTTTTATTTAGACGATCAGAAGTTTTGAAGGTACAGCAGCCAGTTCTTTCCTCCTGTTTGATCAGTAGCGTTATCATCACGGATTAGTTATCTGTTACCCCACTTTAGCCACTCTTTATGAACAGGCAGAGAGATAGGATGGAGGCGTTTGCAATCTTTTTTTTTTTTTAAGTAATGGTGGTTTTGATCTGTGTTCCAAAGGGGACGTTTTTTTTTGTGATGGCGGGGAGACCTTTACAAACAGCAATATAGTTCTTTTAGATTAGTTTTTATTTGGGGGGGGTGTTAGGGAGGGATAGTATATTTGTGTTTTATTTTGTTCCTCAAGCTTCTGGAAATCTTGGGCTACTGTTACAGCACCCAGGTAACCTCGCAATACATTTATCTGGGCAGGGCTACTCTCACCCAATGCAATATTTTCCCCAACAAATCTGTTTTTCAATAGGTCAGGGTGAGGATTTTCCAAGGCATGTAAAAAGGTCAAAGAGGGATCCGCTAGATTTGTGAGTCTCCACATTCCATGCAAGTGATATGGACAAGAAATCCTGGATTATAGGATATGTGGGATGATGGTGGTGAGGTTCGCTTCCTACTTGGCTATTCCGATTTGGTGGGCTATATTAAAATCATGTAAGAAATTATTGTCTGGGGATTAACAGGGGAAGGACAAATGATCTTGGAGAGGAGTATTTCTTTTTGTTTGGGTGGCTAATTGGAATAGATATTAACAAAAGCGAAATAATTCTGAGCTAAATGAGAGACATTTGGCTCCATTGTTAAGTTTTTCTGGAGAGTTGATTCTACTATGGTATGGAACGGGGCACTTGATGTTCAGATTATTTTAGGCATCTGTAGTCCTAGCTTCATTAAGATTAAGTGCTTGCTTTTAATTAAACTTTAATAACATTGTTGACTCCAGGACACCGAAATTAGTTGAAGATTTCAGGTATAGATTATGTGTGTAAAACACTAATTTTTGTACACCTTGCTTATCCAAAGAAGCATTTGTTCATGGGTTTCTTGACAGGGTTTTAAATGAGAAAATATTGACAGTTTTAGTGTGCAAAATATGCACAGGTTGGAAAAGGAGACCTCTGTCTTCACGAAATGAGAGGCTAGTGTAGAGGGAGTAGTCGCTGGAGACACTGGGGTGTGCCAGCTATTGCAGGATGAGGAAGGGATGATCTTCTTGCAAACAGAAAAGCATGACAAGTCAAATGTTGTCAGCTGTTGCTGCATTCAGCTCTTTGCAGGTGTGGAATATGATGTGGGAATATTGATTCAAACTGGAGAGGTTAACATTTAAGTTACTTCAGTTCCCCCATAGTTTAAGTTAATGCGTGCTGATTCAAATCCATTATGAGCATCACCAAAGGCCGTGTTTTATATACTTTCTCATTCTATGTTTGGAGGCAGTTTTAATAGCTTAAGTTTCCTCCCCCCAGAAAAGTTTATGCAATTGTTTGAGGCCTTTGGGAATCTTTTTTCCCCAACACCAATTCTTAGAAAATTAATAGTTATGAGCTATATTTTGAACCTTCTTTAAAGCATTACTCAAGAGTTCTATGCTTAAAGTACTGTGTTTGGACTTCAGATGTTTGATTTTAAACCTCAGATGCTGTGAATTCATTGTGCAAGTTAATGTGAGCTGATGCAGCATGGTGCTTAAGAAATTATACTGTGAAGTGGGAAGTCCTCTAGTTCCCATTCTATCTTAGCTGTGAAATCATTAACAGCACAGTCCTATTCAGCTGTATTCAAGTAATTCATATAGGATTACAGCATAAGTGGCTTCATGCAAACTACCTTTTCTCAGTCTCAGCGTTTCGCATATGAAATATAGTGATAAATTGATATTGCTCCTTTTCAAGGTTATTCATAAAGCTTTATGCATGTGGAATGCTATAAATATTCAGAAGCTCTGTATGAGTACTAATTTATCATATTGTTTTTTAGACTTTATGCGTAAGATGAAATTGAGAGTGGAGTCTTGCTACTGGTTCTCATCTCTATTGGTAATCTAAATAAATAATATTTGTGAATCCTCTATCTGCCTGAAGAGATTGAAAAGTATAGAAGAATGCAAGACTATCTCAAAACTTCCTTCCTTCCTTCCTTCCTTCCTTCCTTCCACATAATTAAAGAAGTGAAATAGACCTCTATGTAAGAAAACCAAAGATTAATTAAGAGGGATGTACAATAACTGAGTTGACATAATAGCGTAAGCGATATTGTGATTATATTGACTTAATATGCATTTATCCAAATAACTGTGACTTATTCGATAAACCACAATAAAGTAAAACATGACTTAGTACAATTTACAAGTTTAGCCAGAGAATGTTATGAGCAAAGATTGTGCTTTAAATTGTCACAGAAACAGTAAGAAACTAGAGGGGTATCATTTTTGGTGGTGCCTGTGTGAAGCTGATTTGACATAATTTTGCTACATCAATATGCAGACTGGCTGGTACAAAGTTAGCCTTATGCCGTAGCACCTGCTGATTAACAGATCAAGAATTGTGTTGATTGATTGCTGTCTGAGGTCTTTTAACTAGTGATTTGAGATATTGAACAGGTTACATCTGCAGGGAGACCCTTTACTCAGTCATAGGGAACATCATATAATGCTATCTTCATTGATCATTCATCCCTCTGTGGGGGAAAATGTTAATATCTGTTATTTTTGTTGAGCATGGGGTGGTACTTAAAACACAGGTCTTCTGAACTGACCTGAAATGTTTTGCTAATGCTTTTGAAGAAAACATGGAATATATTTGAAATGAATGTCTAACCTCCAATGACTAAAGTTGATATTTGCAAATTGTCATAGTACAAATCTCTTTGCATCTTCTGTTTTCTCCACTGCCACTCCTGGAATAAAAGCCTACTTTCGTTGAAAGTTGTACATTTTGTCATAGGGAAGTGTGCTTCATTTTTCACAAAGCCAAAGCATGATGTACAGCCAACAGTCTTTAGACCAAAGTAAAAATCTACAAATCAGATATAGTTAAGAATAAGTCGTGGGGAATGCTTCCATTCCTTTGAAGCCGTTTGGGATTTTAAACACATGTTTACTACTGACAATGAATTAGCTTTACATTTTATAAGATGAAATAGAGGTATACTTTTCTATCTCCTATATTTTGGATTGTAGCATTTATTTCTTTACCATTTTCTTGGAAAATCTTTTTTTAATACTTTCCTGTCTGATCTTTATCCCTTTGAAATGATGGGGCAAGATACTGTATTTAATTCTCTGTTTTTCTTCCCCTTTCTCTCTCATTTTTCTTGTATTCTATTGCTGTGTGATCATTTTGGGCCAAAGGTCACATCATTCTTGTTTCTTCAAAATTCCATGTATTTATACCCTGTATGAATAAATATGCACTAGTTAGAATACGGTGACTCTTTGTTGAAAAATGTACAAAGAATGCTGCTGGATCTGATGAAAGGTCCAGCTAATGCAGCACTTTTTTTCTTTCCAGTTTTCAGGTTACTTTTCAAGGTAGTTAACTACTAGAGAAACAAAAAGTATAAATGTTCCTTCTGAAATGCAAGTCATAAAGGCAAGGCTCTCTAGTGCAGTGTGCACTTTTCCATAGAGCAACAAACATTCAATTTTCCCTCAATATACCGATAGCTATTAAAAATTAGAGTAAGGAAGGATTAAAACCAGCTGTTTAAGAAGACTATGGAACATGCAATATGGTGGGTTTTCAAGAAACAATGCAGAGTGAGAGTGCATTGATCAAACTTTTATTAGATATGAATATCTTGTGCATCTGTGCATATGTTTTGAAGTCACTCTATTTGAATTAATATATTATGTGGAAAATATATTAATAATCTCCTAATATTCGTATGTAGAATTGAATTGAACAAATACAAATGCAAATGAATACATTGACTCCGTGTGTGCTTTATTTTGCTATAAGGTCCACTACAGAGAATGGTACTTGTTCCATAGTACGTATTTCTAGGATTGTGACCGTACAACAATATGACCTTTGGCAAGCTATAAAAATCACTCAGCTGCAGATTAGTTACTCTTTTAACACCCTTTATACCTTGTTTGTTTTGCACTTTCTAACAGAAAGGTGGACTATCCCCCATCCACTACCTTTGCTTGCTTGTGGGGGATTTTAATCCATGTTTTATGACGGTGCGTATTGAACTAGATGATATCATCACTTCAGGTTAATTAGCACAGAATGTAAGGTTATGCTTTTTGTGGATGCAGCATTGGATCATGTGTTTCTGGGCAATTTTTTTTTTTATAACTGCATTGCAAAAGAGGCTATTTAAAAAGTGGTGCATCCTGCACAAATTGGAAGAAGGAAGGAAGGGCATTTATTTTATTTTTTAAAACGTCCCACTTCTCTTTGAAAAGAAGTTTGTAAGAAAGATTCCGGAGGATGTTTTACTGTGCATGAGAGATGTGGCATAAAATTAAACTTGCTTAAAAAAAAAAACAGCACTTGTGGAAAAAAAAAGAGGGAGAGAAAGTGCTGGCTCATAGGCTCATATCACTGCGGAGGGCTTGGCTCAGTGTTCTGAATGCTGTTTCTTTTCTATGATGGTGGAGCCATCAGATGCTTTTCTCCTTGCCATAAAGGCTGAGAGTGAGCAGTTTTATCTTTTTTTTGGGGGGGGGGCT